TATATATATATATATATATATATATATATATATAAGTGTAATTGGCTATTGAAATACACTACAAGAATCTCTTTAAAAAATGACAAGAAAAAAGTATAACAAGTATTTATTCAGTCTTCATTTTTCATATAATATAACAATTGGGCATTAGAAATATACTGCAAATACCTATTAACTATAAAAATGCTTGTTAAATAAATAGCATCCAAATCAGTCAAAATCTTGAGTTTGGTTTCCACTCAAAAGCGAATTAGGGTTGGAGTTATTGTTGATTTCTCTTCCATCCTGTAATGATCGATATAATTCTCTTCAAAATATAAATATTTATTCCTAAATCATTTAAATCCCTAATTTTCTTTCTACACTCACTATAAAATTCAAATTCAATTTCAATCTTTTTATACGAGTGCTTTTACCTATGGTTACAATCAAGAATGTCTCCAAACCAAGGATGATCAAGCTTTATACCAAGAAAATAACATTATAATTTGCTTTTTTATTTCGTGTTATCTTCTTAAAAACACTATATAATTGTTGAGTATTGAAAGACATTACAAGTATGTATTAAGAAAAAAAATTGTATCAATTAATCCTTTATAATTTATACATATATCATAACTATTGAGCATAAAAAGACATTGTAAATATCTATCAATTTACAAAATGTACATTCTCCAAACATATACATGGTTCTTCCTAGTCATTTATGAGTGTAATTTATAAAATGCACATTCTCCCAAGATATACATGAGATATACATGGTTCTTCCTAGTCATTTATGAGTATAAAACTTATAGTATATTATAAATTTCTATTGAGATATAAAAAAAAACCTTCTATTGATGTATATAATTTAATTTAATTTCTTAATTGTGTATTTAAATGTCTAATATAACAGTGTGAGATTTTATAAGATATTTAACTATTGAGTTAAAAAAAAATCATAAATTTATGAATCCACAAGTTATTCCACTTTTTTTTCTTATAAAATTGTTATATTTTTCTTCGATTCAACAGTTGAATGAGCTTGAGATTACCGCTGCCGCTGCTGCTGTAATAATTAATTACTTAAAGTTAATGTAGCAATCACGATTAAGATTAAGAATTGATGGGGGAAAAATGAGAAATGTCTATATGTTTTTGACGCACCACCTTAAGTTAATCCATCACGTCGAACCAAATCTTACCGATTTATGCATTAGTTGCAGTCATGAGCATGACCCAGGTGGCTGTTCAGGAATTTTCTCTTAAGAAAAAACCGTTAAGAATATTACTAGTACTTAATTATCTCGCTTAAATATCACTCTAAAGTTAAGCCTCACCAGCTGCCAGTCGGACCAGAACTGCAATTTGTAGCAGAAGGCAATGGCTTCCTGCAAGAAAAGCTTGATCTCAGCCACCTAATTAACAAACCTACCTTTTTCTTCACTGACTATATAAGCATCAGAACCAGCTCTTTCTCTGCATCAAATCATCAGCTTTCTCACACCAGTTTTTCTCCCTTGCTAGCTCTCCTATTCTCCATTAAAATTAAGAATCTCGCTAGCGAGGGAACACAATGGGTTCTGCCTTTTTGAGGATTTTAGTCACTTCGTTGTGTGCTCTTTGGATTTTCTCTGAGCTGGCAGTTGCAAAGCATGCAAGCATTACTAGACATTACAAGTTTGACGTGTGTATTACGTACTCCATTGCTTTTACCATTTACTTGTTAATAATATTAGCCTCTTAATTATATATCTGCCTATCAATTGATGTTCGACTCAAAATCTACGTTGTGTTTCTTTCTTTCTTTCTTCGTATAGATCAAGATGCAAAATGTGACAAGGATGTGCCGGACAAAGAGCATCGTTACTGTCAATGGTCAGATCCCCGGGCCTCGAATCATAGCAAGGGAAGGGGATCGGCTCTTGATCAAGGTCGTTAACCATGTCCAATACAATGTCACACTCCATTGGTATGGAAGCCTAACCAAGCCTCCCATTACTGTTAGCTTTAATTTTGTAGATATTAGCACTTAATTTTCCTTCTTTGATTGAAATATCCGATTGGTGTTGTGTATATGAATTTGGGGAGCAGGCATGGAATCAGGCAACTACGGAGCGGCTGGGCAGATGGACCTGCCTACGTAACACAGTGCCCAATTCAAACGGGACAAAGCTACATATACAATTTCACAGTTACTGGACAAAGAGGAACATTGTTCTGGCATGCTCACATTTCATGGTTAAGAGCTACCCTTCATGGACCCATTGTCATCCTCCCTAAGAAAGGCGTTTCTTACCCATTTCCACAACCTCACAAAGAAGTCCCTATCATTTTTGGTAATTCTTCATGACTGCATGTTTATGAGCACTACTAATTAAAGATGGCCAATATATATATATATATATATATAACCGTATTGTATTAATGA